AAAAAACATTTATTTTGATGTGTAGCCTTCTAATGGAATCAAACTTACAGCTCCAGGCTCATCTAGATGAGGCCTGTACGGAAATGTATGGTAAAAGAATCGATTAGGAATCATTTTTCGTCGAGTACGTGATGGTCCTTCGGTGGTGTCAAGTTTGTATTTGTCGAGGATCGATGCCTGTGGAGTAATTGTGAATGACGAATTTACTCGAATATGAGGATATCAACACACTTTTTCAGGCCCCCATATCCCGCGCTCTCGCGTAAGCTCGGCTTCCAGCTGATGCCATTCGTGCAATGACCACTTTTTGGCATGCGCATGCCATTCGTGATATCGCGTAGCTTGTGCTACCACCAACTCCTTCACAAGACTAACGTGCACTCGAAGCCACATGTGAATCACCTAAAGTCATTCTTTTTAATGACCGCCACGTTCCTTGTTGGCAAGCGAAGGATCTGATGTAAATGGTACCTGGATTTAGTTTTTCTATACGATTAACTTATTTTTGATAGTCATAACTTTTTCGCACAACTTTGAACTTACTTCCTTATCCACGCTCACATTCTTCCAAGGTAAAATGGCACTGATGCTTCCATGCGAACTCAGAGATCTTTTGCTGGCTAATTTGCTCAAGCCTGATGCAACTCGAGTTATCTTCTAAAGTATGATCGATAAGACATTTCTTACCCAAAATAGGACTAACTTCAAAATACATTTGACCGACTCTAAAAGATAAGAAAACAAAACAAAAGTATATCATACCGAGCTTATCTGGGTTTGAATATCTCTTGAGATCGTGTGATTTTGACAATGTCCTGACAGCTGACTGTCTACAAAATGATGCCAGTGTTGGCCAGCGACATTTGCCAATAATGCCCTTGCTGCATTCAATTCACTGTAGAGCCAGAATTGGAGTAATAATGCTCATGACAAATCAAATAACTGGCCTACCAAACTGTTGGCTTCTTAAATGATTCTTCTAGTAATGCTTTCTTAGATGAGATCACATCTGTCCAAACTCTGGATGCGCACACGGCGACCTAACAATCAAGATCTTCGATAGGCGAAGTATCGAGTTCGGCATATGAGTAAAGCATAGAACTTACCTGCGCGCTCGCTTTCTCCAACGCTTCCCCATCTTGCTGCATTATATCTGGTGTAACACTAAGCATGAAGATCAGATGGGTCAGTGAAGTGAAGAACCAGCTCTCGTTTGAGGAAAGAAAAATGTACCGTTTCGTCACCACTGAGGAGAGGGTGTCCAAAACGGACATTTGGACTAAACATTAGTAATGGTGCACGAGTGATTCCATATGTAATTGCATTTGAACAATACCGCTCCGAAAAAACCGCTGCTTTCACATGACATGCTAACATATATGAAGACGTAAAAGCAAAATCCCTACTCTCTCATTATCTCAAAAAACAAAAATTTTTGACCAGAATTCGAGATTCTAGATACATAAAAACTGGATACATTAATCGGAAGCTCAAATTCAAACACAATACCAAATCTTTCTTTGAATCACAATAAAATAAAACATTGCATTCAACTTATAATTTATCACCTACCTTGTACATTTTCGATTGGTCTACTCAAGATGTACAGTACACAACGCATTATCGATGACGTTAAGCTGTCCAAATTGATTTCCTGAAAGCAATTCGTCATTGGCAAGATAATCAGAAATGGCAGCTAGAAGGTGATACACCTTGTTCTCTTTGCGACTGGCAATAGCGTACACACTGTATAGAAGTTGAAGCAGCCGCAATGGTTCCCCAACTAGGAGACCATTCCACAGACAGTCCACTGCGCGAAGAGCCATGTATGAGATGTTCACACCCACCT